AAGTAAAGTGTGGATCTAAATACCCAGAAGGACCTCCAACAATTAGATTTGTAACAAAAATTAATATGAATGGGATAAATAATTCCAGTGGAATGGTGGATGCATGATACATACCAGTGTTTGCAAAAATAGCAAAATTGTTATAGCATCAAAGTTGTACTTTAAAAGCTAAGGCGTCTAATGATGTCCAAAGAAAACATGAAGCTTCCACAACCTCCAGAAGGGCAAACATACAGCAATTAATTTTAACAAATCTCAAACTTATCTAAACCAACAATCTTCTACTCATGTTAATGTCTTGATTAAATCTCACAATGCAAAACCCACACATTAAAAGAATTCCAGCTGGTATACATGACCTGGACATTTGTAAGAATATATTTAATATATGTACACCCATTATGTTTTCAGGCACAATGGGAAGAAAAATACAGCACAATTTTTTTTTCTCTTATCAAGGCACTAATTATTTAAGCATAAACCTGGAGTACTCCAGATGCAATTCAGGTTTTACAAGATGAAAGCATGACAAGATGTGTCATATTGCTGTGGAGTAATGTATGTTTCAGAAATCCAATTTTTCAAGAATGAAAATTATAAATGGCATGCTTGATCCATCTTGCCTAGTGAGAGAGCTGCAATTTAAATTGTTTAAGGGGCAACTAGGTGGCGCAATGGATAGAACACTGGTTCTGGAGTCAGGAGGATCTGAGTTCAAATGTAGCCTCAGACACATAACACTCGCTAGCTGTGTGACTGGGCAAATCACTTAATCGCAATTGCCTCACCAAAAAACAACAAACAAATAAATAAATAGTTTAAAGTAGCAGGTACAATAAATACTGTTGCTTATTTTGTTAAATTTTTGAAGAAGTGTGGGTAGACTACTAGTAGTAACAAAGTATGTTCGGGATTGTTTTGATACTTGTATTTATAAAAAGGGGGTAGAGGTTGAGGGAAGGAGATGGATTTGTGTTTAAAGCAACTCCTGTGTCTTACGTGTAACAGGCATGGTAAATACTTGTTAACTGTCATTGTTCTGATAAACCATGAATTTAAGTTTTAATTGAAAAAACAAAGGAAATAGGTGTATGGATATGTGATTCTGAGATTAAAGTTAGTCTTAAAATATAAGTAAAATGTGGAAAGTATCCTCAAAAAAAAATAAAAAGGAAATTTTAATAAATTGCCAACCAAAAAACAAAAAGTGAGCCTTTGTTTCAGATAGAAATTGGGCGGAGGGTGTTGTTATTTCCTAAAGCAATTCAGCCCTCTCTCCTAAGTTGGGGGGCAGGGGCAGCCTTAGGTATGGTTTGATCTTAGGAACAAGGGGACAAACAAAAATATTTCCTCCACCCTGTTCTATATTGTCTAAAATTTAACAGGAGAAAAAATTTAACCATATAAATTTCCATAATGAGATGAAAGAGCTTTAAAAAGTCTTAGCAAACACTTGATTGATTTGCCAAATGGTTTGGAGAGAGATGGCAGCCAAGACAATACCAGTTTAGAAAATAAATTTGTTTGTAAAAACTTCAGAAGGATGGTAGACATTTATGAGTGATATTATCTCATAAAACAGGAAAAAGCAAATGGAAGGTAAAACAAGCATAAAATCTGGCAAGAAACTTGGCTAATGACAATTATCCAAATGGCCTTTAAGGATGAAGTTGGAAGAACAACATCTAGAAGATGAAGAAAGATCTATAAAGATTTCTATTACAAATTATTTATACCATTAAGCAAAGTGGAACCGCACCACTGGGATGCTAATATCAATTCCAGTTGTGCTCATGGAGGAGATAGAAATGGCACTAAAGAAAACAAAGATGGGAAAAGCAACTGGACTAGACCAGCTGTATACAGAGGAGATTGAACTAGAATTGATAATTTTACTGTGTCCTTTTTTTATTAATTTATTTTTAATTTTCAGCAATCACTTCCATATGCTTTTGAGTTTTAAATTTTTTCCCTCTCCCTCCCCAAGATGGTGTGCAATCTAATACAGGCTCTACATATATATTCCTATTTAAACATATTTTCACATTAGTCATGTTGTAAGGAAGAATTAGAACCAATAGGAAGAACCACAAGAAAGAGGAAACAAAACTCAACAGAAGAAAAAACAATGGCAAATAGTATGCTTTGATCTGCATTCAAACTCCATAGTTCTTTCTTTGGATGGGGATAGCATTTTCCATCATGAGGCCTTTGGAGATGTCTTAGATCCTTGTATTGCTGGGAAGGGTTAAGTTTATCAGTCTTAGTCATCGCACAGCATGACTGTTATTGTGTACAATGTTCTCCTGGTTCTGCTCACTTCACTCAGCATCGGACCATCATTTCTTATAGCACAATAGTATTCTGTTACATTCGTGTACCACAACTTGTTCAGCCATTCCCCAATTTGTGGGCATCCTCTCAATTTCTTTGCCACCACAAAAAGAGCTGCTATAAATATTTTTGTACATGTGGGTCCTTTTCCCATTTGTGTGATCTCTTTGGGATACAACCCTAGTAGTGGTATTGCTGAGTCAAAGGGTGTGCACATTTTTACAACCCTTTGGGCATAGTTCCAAATTGCTCTCCAAAATGGTTGGATCATTTAACAACTCCACCAGCAATATATTAGTTCCCGCATCTTCTCCAACATTTATCATTTTCCTGTTTTGTCACGTTGGCCAATCTGATAGGTGTGATGTGGTACCTCAGAGTTGTTTTGATTTGCATTTCTCTAATCAATAGTGATTTAGAGCATTTTTTTCATTATTTTTATTTGTTTTTATTTTTACTTTTTTTTTTAGGGAATTGGAGTTAAATGACTTGCCCAGGGTCACACAGCTAGTAAGTGTCAAGTGTTTGGTATGAGGCCGGATTTGATCTCAGGTCCTCCTGACTTCAGGGCCAGTGCTCTATCCACTGTGGCACCTAGCTGCCCCTTAGAGCATTTTTTTCATGTGACTCTAGATGGCTTTAATTTCTTCATCTGGAAATTGCCTATTCATATCCTTTGACCATTTATCAATTGGGGAATGACTTGTATTCTTATAAATTTGACTTAGTTCTCTATATATTTTAGAAATGAAGCCCTTATCAGAGATACTGGTTATAAAAATTCTTTCCCAGTTTTCTTCTTCCCTCCTTGTCTTGGTTGCATTGGCGTTGTTTTCAATTTGATATAATCAAAATTATCCATTTTGCATTAGAATTAATAATTTTTAGGAAGATGTATTGGAAGGAGGGGAAGCTACCAAAGACATAGAAAAAATATTAATTCCCTCTCTCCCCACCAAAAAAGTGTCCAAGAGATTATCAACAGCTACTGATCTACATGCCTGCTCTTTCATCTATATAAAAATTTTATGAGAAACATATATACAGTTATCCTCTTCCACCTCATGACTTTCCCTATCGTGATTTCAATATATTGTGAGTCAGCATAAGAAATTAAATGGCAATTTTTTGGGAGTTTTGCAGAAGCTGCAAATAACTCGTGAAAGCTAGCAGATGACAGAAAAAGTTTAGAAACTCAGAAATGCATAAAAACATGTATAGTATTGTACTAACATCAACATATTTTATCTTTTACTACCATAATAATTCAGACTTCTTCTCTGGTACAAAAGGAAAGGCAAAAATTTTTACATGAGTTTTCCAGATCATGGGGGCACCGCACTCCTAACCCTCAAGATGTGGAAAGGTAACTCTATTCCTCAAAGAGCTCCTTGATGAGAATTAGAAATAAGAAAGTTTTTTTTTATAAGAAATACCCACAAATAACCAATTCTTTATCACCACACAACTGACTGAAAGATGTAGAAAACATAAGGTCTCACTATGTATGTTGACCATTAAAAAAAGCTTTTGCTTTTTTACGCCTGCTTTACAGAAGGTGAGGAGAGACTCAAATTGGGTGGATGGCTATATGAATGCAAAGAGGGGTGTAAGGAATGGCTGATATAGGGGATGAAGGAGAAGGAAAATTCTGAGATCATCTCCAGATATATATGTCTAGCAGATACTTAAAAATGGGTGACTGCTGTTCAGGGAAGATATTGGAGCTGAATACAAATTTAGTAGAATAAAGGACCACTCAAGATGTATGTGGTTGAGGACCATGAAAAATAAATTGGTTGACATGAGAGTACTACTGTATGGGTTGAGTATTGAAAATCTCAGTCCTTGGGTATGGGGTGAGTAGAGGGGAGGCCTTGGAAGGAAGGGGAGGCTGAAGGCAAGGAAATAAAAAAATCCCTTATCTTTCAGTCTTCGTCTTTGTATCTCAGTATCTTTAGTGGTGGTAGTTATGATGATGTTAGGGAGAACTTTGGTCATTCATGCTGCTTATAGATATTTCAATAGATCCATGACCTTTTCAAGTGTGACTTTTTCAGCTGTGTAAAAAACAAAACCCTATCAAAGTAAGAAGATGAAAACTAAAAATTTGGTTTGGCTCTGTAAAAAGAATGCTAATTAGTCACTTAGGTAAACTATTAGCATTGTTCTGTAACACTAGGTGTCAGATTAAGGTTGCAGATTTTATCTGTAAATGCTGTAAACATAGATTCAGTCTTCATGGTTTATTTGTGGCATAAATAACAATAAAAAATTAGGGAACATGATTGAGGAGCCATGTCTTAATAGTAGCTTTTTATTAATTTGAGTGCAACTTTTTGGGAGATTAAAAATTTATCTTATGATTTTAAAGTAATTTCACTTATCTTGTAAATGCAAATTAGATTTTACATATTGAACATAAAACAGTTGTCCTCTAATACAAGTATACCCTATCTAAAAATAATTAATTGGTTCTGAGAAAATATGATAGTTTAAATGACATTACCAGGAGCAATTAGTTCTGTAGAAAAAAATGTTACAAATGTTCCATTGCCTAGTGGTTAGAACAGGATTTGGTTTAATGTATTAACAGTAACTTTGGCTAGAGTAATATCATGTGGGAGCGTACAAGTATTGTTAATATTTATGTCTCTTTCTTACAGAAGACCATTGGTAAAATTGCAACATGCTTGGAATTACGAAGTGCAGCTTTACAGGTAAACAAATTTCCTCCTGCTTCTAATAAAAACAGTAACTATCATTCTGCTAAATGCTTGCCATACATGCTAAAAGACTTATATTTTCAGAGAAACTTTTATAACAGGAATTTTTCTATTAGGTTAGCAAGAAGATTTAGTGTTTCTAAAACAAGAGAAAGTAGAAGACTATTTTTCCTCTTCCTTTATCTTTTAAGTGCTTCTGGGAAAACAGGTGACAGTGGCTCATTTTGTCTCTTGGTAGCAAGAAATGGATTGCTTTTAGCTTATATGTGAGTAGAGTTCCTATTAGAAATACAGAATGCTTTTTCTCATTGATTGGAGTACAGAGATTAAAAAATAGGTTTGTAATAAATGTGTAATATACATATTTTTCATTTAGTCCACACAGTCTCAAGATGGATTTAAACTGGAGGACCTGAAAAAACTAGAACCAAGTAAGTTGAATCATGGTTTTATTACAGTTACTTTAAACATAATTTCCGACAATAAGATTAAATGGCATAGGTGATGATTTTATATTCTATGAAAATACAAATATGCTTGATCTTCTGTACTCTTGTAATTAATATACTGCAATGTTTATAGCAGTTATCCCTTTGAATCTCACCTTCACTGCACCGTTCTATCTTGGTTCACAAGGTATTGGAAGGAGGAGAAGATACCAGATATGGAAGAAAATGTTAATTCTCCTTCCCCCCAAAAAAGTGTCCAAGAAATTATCAACAACTACTGACTTGCATGCCTACTCTCCCATCTATATAAAAGTTTTATGAGAAAAATACGTATTCATCAAAGACCTCCTTGATGAGAATTAGAAATAAGAAAGTAAGATAGAGTATTTGAAGGTATGCTATTTTATTTTCTGATACAACATCTATATAAATTTAAATCATTTAGATAAAGATGCAGCTACCTTAGAAAATACTTATTGTAGAATCATCTGGAAAATGTTATTGTATGTGGAAATGTGTATCAGTGATACTTAAAATAACATTTTAGTGGTATTGTTTAAGAAAAATAATCAGTCACTTACGACGGATTCCCCTTCTAGAGCCTTCCCTTTGCAACAAAAGAGTCATCAAGTAAAACAAATCAAGACATTGCCTATGTTGAAAATATATCTCGTACTATACCTTTAGTCTGCCACTTCACTAGTGTCTAGAGACAGGAAGATATTTCACCATTAGTCATCTGAAGTCTTTCAGCGTTGTTTTTCTTTCTTTCAGTGTTGTTTTTCTTTATGTTATTATGGTTTGATGATAATTTTTAGGAAATGTAAATGCTTACTGTCCAACCCCTACTTTTATCTTCTGAAACTTGTTCTCCCATGGAAGAAAAGATTTGCTTCAGAAATTTTTATCATTAAGATTGTTGCCAAATAATCTTGTTGGTTGAAACAAATATTTTATTAGGATAAATGTTTGCCAACATAAGCACAATCACAAGTATTAAATATAAGACTAAAAATAGGCCAAAACTTTTTTGTCTTTTTATTAAGGCAAAATGGCATATCTTGAAAATATTTATGCATAAATAGCCACAGATTCCTTCCCTTTATCCATCTGTTAAGTCAAAATCATGATTGTAGAATCCCAACTTTAGAACTGCAATAAATCATAGAGTTAGAGCTAGAAGAGACCGTAGAGGTCACACAGTACAACTGTACATATAAGGAAATTGGGGCCCAGAGAGGTTCAGTAACTTGCTCCAATGTCATATACACAGGCAGCAAATAGCAGAGACGGTATTGGAACATGGACTCTCTGACTTCAGAACGAGTACTTTTCCTCCATCTTATTCTGCCTCCGTACGTGACCTGAGAGGTCATCCATTCCAAACTCTTAATTTTAGAACTAAAGAAAATGAGATCCTCAAGGATTAAGGGACTTTCTAGGACCCTAATTAGAACCCATGTCTCCTCGTCTTTCCATCATACCCCAGTGAGTTTTATATTTCATTGCCTCACCTTTTAAGAACTAAGGATAGGCTCCTTGAGCTTTTGCAGACTAGTTTCTGATTTATAGCATAATTTCCATGGACAGGAGTATGTTATTTCTGGTGGTAGCAACAGGATTTGAATTACAGGTTAAATATGATTATCAGGTAAAAAGAAGAGATCTTTCATTTGGTAGTTTGGGGAATATCTATTGACTGTTGTTAAAGGTGGGTGCCAAATTGATGGAAGTATGTAGCAGATTTGCTATGATTTTGGTGTTTTTCCTAGAGTTTTTTTATGGTTTTTGTTTCTTTTCAGAACATGTTCCTTCTGAAGATGATAAATACAAAAATAAAGTCATATTTTAGTTGTAGATTATTTTATATAATTGATATCATAAGTTATATTATAATCAACATGGTTTTAATATTTTAAAATAGCAAATACAATCCTAGATCTCTTGAAGTTAAGGACATCTAGCACATAAAGCTAAGCTTCTCCCTCATTTTGATTCTTAATTTTCCATGTTAACGTGTCTAAAGTTAAAATGGAGTGTTTTCTTATAGCATTAAAAATAATTTTAAAATCAGGCTGTGATGAAAGGGGAGGGGAGGGACAAAGTATTAATTACTTTGGGAAAAAGTATAGTATTATAGTATAAACAAAAAAAATTTTTGTCAGCCCCATAAATACTAGAATTTTATTTCAATGGAAAGCCATATGTGATTATGCCTGTGAATAATTGCTATCATTTACATACCATTTTAAGGTTTGCAAAGTACTTTTATGTGTGATATCTCTGTTACCTTCACAGCAACCTGTGAAGTCATTGCTACTGTTATTCCCATTTTGCACATGAGGAAACTGAGGCTGACAGCAATTAAGTGACTTCTCTAGGATCACAGAGATAGTAGGTGTCTGAGACAGAATTTGAATTCACCTTTTTCTGACTCCAATTAACCCTAACCCTGTGCCCAACTAGTTTTCCTGCAATGCATTAGAATTAGAATATGTGATCAATGTGTCACATTGTTGTTTTCAGTTCAAGAAAATTGGAACATCCAAAACAGAAACTATTATAGTTTCCTCTGTTATTTATTGACCAGTTACTGTTTGTGTTCATTTTTTTTTAAAAAAGTCAGGGGCAGGTAGGTGGCGCAGTGGATAGAGCTCTGGCCTTGGAGTCAGGAGGACCTGAGTTCAAATGTGGCCTCAGACACATGACACTTACTAGCTACGTGACCCTGGGCAAGTCGCTTAACTCCTGTTGCCTCACCAAAAAGCACAAAAAAAAAAAGTCTAACAGTCACTTGTAGAGAGATTGTTAATCTTTAATGTATTATTTTAATTCTCTTTATATTTTATGATCTACTAAATTAGTCAACTTAACTTTCATCATAGGGAAGCATGGGTTTTACATGCAAATTATATCAGGATTCCCTAGTGCTTCCAATTATGATCATTTCAATAGGACTATTTTTTTTCTTGTTTTGAAAAAAAAGTTTTTCTCATTTTGCTAGAAGAATATGCTAATGCTTTTCCTCTTTCTGAGATTTTTTTTTTCTTTTAGGTTCCCCCTAAAACTTATCCATTATGATCACTTGAGTCAGTATTTGGACAAATGTTTTTTCCTTTATATCATTTCAGACATGTTAAATGCACATATCTTTATCCTAAGACGTTGGCATACTCCGTTGTTGTTGCATTAACAAGAATGAGTCTTGTAATCTTTTTTTGTGGGAGGAGAAGACCATGTTATGTAGCTTGAGTGACTTAATGGCATTCAGATTGTTGTGCTTTGAATTTCATGTGATGATTTTGAATTTGATTTCTACATCTACTTGGTTCTTAATTGACTTTTAAAAAGACATATAAAGTTGTACTCCATGGTCCGACATCTGCACATAATAGAATGTGGTTTGGGATTTGTTAAAGTTAGCTAATAGTTCTTAATTAAGATTTGAATTATTTTATCAGTCTTGGATTCTCTGCTTATTGGTGTTTAGCTAGGTTTCAGTAATTCTTTTTAGAACAAAGAGCACAATAGTCAACTAATTAGGCATCTAGATAGCTAAGAATTTAGAAATGTAAAGTTAATGAGTAATATTAACTTCAAATCTTTTGGACATAGATTCTTTTTTAAAAGATAAATTGTCTTACCAATTTCTTGTTCTTCAATACTTCAAGCATCTGAGATATGAAAACACTAATAATATAATTTTCTTGTATTATATCTAAATGATTTACTTATTATCTAATCTACCTTCATTAATGTAAAAATTGTAACATTTTAAGTGTTGGAAAAGACTTCAGAGGTTATCTAGTCCAACTCCTACCTATTGTTTTTTATTTAAAAAAAAAAAATCAGTCTTCAGGGGATTTTTACCCATAGCCACTCAGAAAAGTTGGGGAGCCCATCTTGCCTTGTCATAAAACTAAACAAATCAACTGTATAGTCCTTTCCAACAAAACAAGCCATGTTATTTATATTTGTGTATTTGTCTGTCTTTTTTTAGGATGTAAGCTTCAAGAGATCAGGGTATATGTTCTGTGATAGCATGCTGTGAGTGCTTAATTTTTTATTAGTAGAATAAATTTAGATGCTTTCTCTGCCTGCTTTTCTGAGGTCTGAAGTCTGTCAGATAAATTAAAAGGACCATCTAGTCACCAAATAATACTATACTTCTTGCTTCTCCTAATGCTATCTATGTTATAATGATCCTCTGTGGTTCTCCCGGTGCCTAAAGTATCCTGAAACAACACTGGTAACTACTGCACTGTAACTTTCTCAAGCTATCAAGATAGGTGGAAAGACATACATAATATAGTCAGACTCCCTTTTTAATCAGCTTGAAGGGGTGTCAGAATTTCTGCTGTTAAAATGGAAACACATTACTAAGGTGTACTAAAGAGTTAAATAAGGGTTCTTGAAATTTTATTTTTGTAAAAGCACATCTTGTGTAATTTGTAAATAGTTAACATTAATTATGGGAAGTCATTTTGAAAACTGAGATACTTTGCCTGTTCCAAAGTAGTGATACCTGAGAGAGTAGATAGAATCATAGGTCTATGAGGGGTGGGGAATCTGTGGCCTCAAGGCCTCTAGGTCCTTGAGTGCGGCCCTTTGACTGAATCCAAACATCACAAAACAAATCCCCTTAACAAAAGGATTTGTTCTGTAAAACTTGGACTTGGTCAAAAGACCGAACCCAAGGACCTAGAAGGCCCAATGTGGCCTTGAGGCAGCAGGTTCCTCAGGGGACTTCAAAGGCCACTTAGTCCACCCCTCTCATTTTAGAGAGAAGGAAACTGAGGCCCAAGAAAGATAAATGACTTGTCCAAGTAGTAACCATCAGAGGAGGAATTTAAACCCAGGTCCTCTGACTCTAGAACCAGTGTTTTTTCCAGTATGCATCATTGCCTTCCAAATACTGCTATGCTCTGATATAATAACTGTATTTGAATTTAAGAGAGTTTTAATATTTGGTGTGGTTTTCCAAACTGTTGTAGTAATATTTTATAAATTTTTGTTTGAGTTAAAATGTTCTTTGTTTTTCGCATTCTATGCGAAAAGGGGGTGTGTAAAAGGTAAAAACTAAAATTTCTATACAATAACACAATTTCATTTTGTCTTCACCTTGAGCTAGCAAGAGACCATGTTTCATGCAGTAGCTTTCAACAATTCAAACACCAGTTTGGGGGCTTTCTTTAGCACTTAAAAGAAAAAAATGATGAAACTAATATATTTAAAAGTATTTCAAATTTTATTAAGATATTTATTCTCACACAGCTACTATATATAATTACAATATCTAAAAGAAAATATAATCTTAATTCTTAAATTGCTAAAGGAATGGGTCTTGTGAACACATTTGTTATACATAATTTATCTTTCAACATAATTTATTATAACCACATTGTTATTTATTACAAGCTCTCAACAAGAAAATGGAAATTTTTTATTTTATAGAATTGGATATTATGATGGTATTCATGTAGAACAGAAATCACCTAATATAGATCTGGATCACTCAGGAAATAAACATGATTCAGATGAACCAACACCAAGTCTTGGGACTTTCACCTTTCTTGTATCCTAGAAACTGAAGGAATTAAAGGAAGTACTTCCATACTGAGATTTCTGTTAAATGTCTGCAGTTAATTTTTCAAAAATAAGACTAACTTCATCCTATACAGCACCAGTGATTTTCTCTTTTCAGACTTTTAACATAGGATACCTGGTTTGGCTCTAAACTTGAAGAAACTGCAAAGTTGGGAAGCCCAAAGTCAGCTAGAGCAGGAATGGGGAGCCTGTGGCCTCAACGCCACATGTGGCCTTCTAGATCTTTGGGTGTGCCCTTTTGACCAAGTCCAAGTTTTACAGAACAAAACCTTTTATGAAGGGGATTTGTTCTGTGAAGTTTGGATTCAGTCAAAGAGCCGCACTTGAGGACCTAGAGGGCCACATGTGGCCTTGAGGCAGCAGGTTCCCCACCCTGGGACTTGAAAGTCATAGGAGCCTCTTGGGTTGCTCTAGGGCTAATTCAGTAAGCTTTGAAAAACAAAAATGGAAAAACCCTACCTTCCTACATTTGATACTGATGGAAAGACATCGAGGACATCTCAAATTTATGAAAAAGCATTTGCATATAATATATCTTTTATAAGGAAAGGGGTTGTATAACATCACAACAAAATAGCAAACTGGAGATTTAGATAGGTGGACAAAAGAAGTTGTATTTTAACATTATTTGCTAACTTCCTTTTAAAGACAGTAGTAGTGTTGTAGTTACAGGTATTATAGATGCAGTAAGAAAATATTATAACTCTTAAAATGAAAGGAATTTGCGGATTTTAGCATTTATCCTTCAGACATGGGACTTCACTAAAAAGAATGTCAAAAGGGATTTGTAGCACATATTTGAATCGGAAGGGAACTTACAATACAGCTGATTCAACCTTTCATTTTACAGATAAGGAAACTGAAGTTCAGAAAAGAGACTTGACCAGGGTCACATGGCTTATAGTGGAGCCAAGAACCAAACTCAGGTCTCCTAAGTCTGCTTGTCACTTCATGCTAAGAACAGGCAACCATCAATGGATGATGTAAGGCAAAACGTAGTCATAGACCTTTGAAGGCAAAGTGCTGAAGCCATTTTTCCCTTGAACCTACTTTGGTCAGTTCTTGATGTCAGTCTCAATTTGACTGTGATGGGGATGGTAATTTTCTGTAAGGTCTCTGAATCTTTGGAGTTTAATTTCCATGGAAGTCTGGCAGAATACAATGGTTGTTAGCATTTGGAACAAACTGGAAATTTATTCCTTGTTCAGTCTTTCAATTGCAGAATATATAATAATGGCACAGGGATTGTGGTAAGGTTGATTAATTTTTTAAAATATATGTGTGTTCAATAGTTTTGAAAATTCACTATAAGGCCCATTTATTTCTTGGTTCTAATTTCATGAAAGAACTCATTTTTTATGTTTCTCTTTACAGTCCTAAAGAATATTCTTACTTATAATAAGGAATTCCCCTTTGATGTTCAGCCTGTCCCATTAAGGTAAGAAAAAACCCAAACACCACCATTTCAATTCCAGTGTTGTACCTATATTTCTGTAGCTGTTTTCATATTCACATGTGTAGTACCTTGGGAAATAAGTAACTTGGAAGCATATGGTTTGCATAGCTCATTATTTCCTTTTTTATGTAGAAGAATTTTAGCACCTGGTGAAGAAGAGAATTTGGAATTTGAGGATGATGATGAAGAGGGTGGTGCTGGAGCAGGGTCTCCAAACTCCTTTCCTGCTAGAGTTCCAGGTAGGAGTCATCAATTATACATTTGTTTTTATCTAAGATCAAGAAGTAAGGAGCTTTTCCTCTAGAAGGGAGTTCTTTCTAGAAGGGAGTAAAACTTCTTGAGCAGGTTCTCACAGCCATGTGTAGTAAGTAGTTGGCTGTCCTATATCAGCCTCTGAAAAATGGCATCACAATAGCTCACATTTCTTTAGTGACTCAAGATTTACAAAGTGCTTTCCATATGTTATTTACCTAGGATGCTTTAAGTAATCAGATTTAGGAATTAGCAACATGAAATCAATAGTAAACTAACTCTAGGCTCAGGCAAAGTGGCCCTTGGATGACTCTTATGTCTTATGAGAGAGGGGTTTATAAGCACAGAGAATTTTTTTACTTGCTTAGGTCAGGGAGCTCCATGTTTCTCTTTCTTTTCTGCAGCCAGCTAGGCCTTTTATCTTCCTTGGCAGGCTGGGAAGTTTCCTTGCCTTTTCCCTCCTGGCCCCCAACCATCTCACCACACCCTGTTTTTCTCTCTTTGTGCAATTCACTTCATATATCTAGTGAGCTTGGAAAGTGGAACAGTATTCAATGATAGAGTATTTTTTTAAGGCAGTGGAAGCTTTAATATAATTAAGGTTCCAGGGCTCTTAATGCAGTACTCCTAGATTTATTTGTTACATTATTTCTAATGTGTTTTTATAATGAAAGAGTGCAAACAATCTTGCTTTTGCAAAAGGAGTGAGGTGGGGTAGGCAACTTCACTTTTGCTGGCTTGAAATTTATATTTCCTTTCAAACAACATGCTGTAATTAATGTGGTTTCAAGTTTTAGGAATGCCACTTAATTTGATAGTTTCCCTGCTCCAAATACTTAACCAAACCAGAAACCTGGAGTAAATGACAACAATGAGACAGAGAAATGATTTGAATCTATGTTTTCAGTCCAAGATGCTCAGCTGAAAATGTTTTGTGTTCTCTTACTGTGAGGTCATACTTCTGTGAGACAGATTAAATAATAATGTAGGGTTTTTTTTGTCCATGATGTGGTATTGCTAGTTCCTCTCCTCTTCTGTGGCATGAAGGTCTGCGGGTTTGCAATGTTGCATACCCTATCAGAGCCCATTGCCAAGGCAGTCACTTTTGCTTACCTCTGTTACAGAAGAGAACTCTGTATATTGGGATAAGACTGCTATAAAAAACTAAAGACATCAATAAAATTTCTAAAAATATATCATTAAGAGTAACAATTTTCTGATAGCTTTTGTGACTTACTATGAAAAGTAGAGAAGTATATGCAGTCAGAAGGTAGGGGAAGTAAGTTTATTAGAACCCCATGAGCTGTCCTTACCTATTGGGGCCATCCTTTTCACAATCACTTTTAAAGTTGTATTTACTCTGAAAATATAAAGATAGCAGTAACTTTTAAAGGATCTTCAAAGGACAGGAAGTTTTTCTCTCTTTTTTTAAATCATGCTAAAAACCCATTGCTGAAGACTTGTAGGCTGTATCTGCAAACTCAGTGGCGGAATAATTCTTACAATTGTTCTGACTAAACTTTCACTAAAACCACAGTGCTTTTGGAATGACTAGTTTTAGTTTTGATGCTTCGAAACCATCACATAGCTGCACTGTACTGATTTGTCTAAAGGTTATTAAAAGTCAGGAGGTTATCAAGATTGTATGAATGTTCTGAAATGTGGCGATCATGAATGGTTTAAGAAATTTATTGTTGAGAAAACTTCACATTTTGGTGATTGTCTATAGCTTTAGTTTATGAAATTGAAATTTTATTTTCTGATTGTTTGGTATGTTAGTAAGCAGTTTTGATCCATTTAATATTAATGAACAGTTGTCTGTAGATAGAACGGCTTCAGGGACAGATCAGTGGCACTACAGATAGAATGCTGGGCCTGGAGTCTGGAATACCCGAGTTCAAATTTGGCCCTAGGTTGGTTGATTCTGGGCAGGTCACTTAAATTCTGTCTGTCTCAGTTTCTTCAACTGTCAAATGGGGGTAATAATAGCACCTACCTTCCAGTGTTGTTGTGAGGATCAAAGAAGATAATACTTGTAAAGTGCTTAGCACATAGCAGACTCTTAATAAATGCTTATAAGAGCACCGATTGAGATACAACTTAATATCTAAGTGTGATCCTACTGTTTTGTACTGGTCATCACTCCATGCCTGAAATGTATTTCCTCTTCACCACAGCCTCATGAAATCTCTTTCTTTTTCTTTTTTTAAAAATTTATTTATGCTTAGTTTTCAAAATTCACTTTTATAAGATTTTGAGTTCCAAATTTTCCTCCTACCCCCTCCCCAAGACAGAATGCAATCTGATATAGGCTATACATGTACAATCATACTAAACATATTTCCACATTAGTCATGTGTGAAAGAAGAATCAGAACAAAAGGGAAAAACCACGAATCTCTTCCTTTCTTGAGGTTGCAGCTGAAGCATCACCTACTACACAAAGATTTTCTTAACTACCTTGTGTTTCAACTACTTTGTATTTATTCTTTTTATATTTATTTTTTACACACTTTTATAGCTACTTATCTCCCCCATTATAACATAAGCTTCTTTCAAGGAGAGGTCTTTTTCATTTTTTTTTTGTATTTATGCACTTATTGCCTGACACATAACAATGACCTTGTGAACTTGTTGATTGATTGGCGAAATTTTTATATATGGTATAATGGAATGGTTAGATAGAAACGGCCTTTAGCATCCATTATCAAGTTTAGTGTTCTCTCATTCAGTGCATAAACACACTCACACACACACACACACACACACACACAGAGAAAAGGCAAATCAAATTAATTGGAGTAAAGTAACATATTGTAGATAATCTTGGTGCCTTTGAGGGGCACAGCCTGGGGAGTTGGGTTGGGTAGTGCTTGGCACTTGAGCTGCAAGAAACTTGGAGAAGGTGGGTTAACGAGGTTATGTACTAGAGGGTATAATACCATTTTCACTTTACTTTTAATTATTTTGGTCATCTTGTGTCCTTGGCCTGCTGTAAATCTTCCATGGGGTATATGACAAGGCGTCTGATTTCAAAGAGCTTATGATAGCTGACATTTATGTAGCTCTTTAAGGCTTGCAGTCATTTTACATACATTTTCTCATTTAATGTAGATGAAGAGTCACACATGAAGAGATAAATAGAAATACAAAACAGATGACTGCCAAAGTAGTAGAACAGTCAGTAAGTATAATAATGAGGACTGTAGGAGTTAGTAATTCATTCTAGAACATCATAGTCAAGTTGGATGTTACTCATTTACACACAAATAGATTGTACATTTGTCCTCCAACTATAGCTTTTAAAACTCCTACTTTTTGTTTGTGAGCTTTCTCACTTAACTGACCAGGCAGTTCTCTCGTCTTGTCATGATGCATTTCTTTAAACTGTTATAGAAGTTGCCTTTTTCACCACTAGCTGGTGCTTTTGCTTCTTCTCCAGTAAGGTCAAATGCTAATCTTGTTTATTCAACTGTTTTCCAAAAACTGTTAGTAACTAAAGAAATAGATTGTTTAGAGTCATATATGCATCTTACTTTAGTGCCTCAGTGAAGTGCAAAACAAAAAAGAATTAGTTAGACCTTACTTAACCACGGAGAAAGAAACTGCCTCATATAGTGAGAAAAGTGCTGTAATTGGAATAGCTAGATTCAGGTTTTAGGTCTGCTTATTTACCAGCTGTGCCCTTGGGTAAGTTTCTTGACCTCTGAGTCTATATTTGACTCTGTGACTTTAACAATCTTTATACATGGGTTTATGTTTCAGGGGTATATGCAGAAGTTTTATATGAATGGGGTCCCAGCTATATAGTTGTGAATGCATGTCTCCTTTAAGGGAGAGGTCCCTTTATGCTCTAAAACTGAGATAAGATCTTATGATAAAGCCCCAGAGGAGGAGTTTAGTGGGGGACGAAACTTGGTTAAATAGTGGATTTTAAAAAGTGGAATGAATCGAAAGTTTTAATTTTACCTGCTCTTAATAAAAACAAATACAATTTTACCTTAGATACAAATTTATGGGACAAAAGAATCTTGAGCTCTGTTGCATAGCTTTCTGGAATCTAAGCTCGCCTCTATATTAAAATAAGGTCAAGAAAACAACTCTTATCTTCTGCTGTTTCTTCCTAACATTAGCAACATTTGTTGGAGTAAAACTTTAGACATTGCTTACTAGGATGAAGGAAATGCTCTCTTGTGGTAACTGATGATGTTACAATTTTTGACCTTTAAATTGCCAACTAGACAAAAATTTCAATTAGTTTGTACTTTCTTGGCCCTCTCCTCTTGAGTTTTGCTTTGACTTTATCACTAATTCTTACTGATCTATGGGAGAGCAAATATGTGGGACTGGATTTGGAAAGAAATAAGAATTGGAATGTTTTCTTTTTTCTAAACAGTTGATTTTCTATAATTATAATTATGTCCCCCCCTTTGTTTTATGAATGTTAAATTGAAAATAATTTTTTGCAACAACAAAATTTTTTAGGATATTTGGTCGTATTCAATTTCTCAGATTCCCAAACATTTAAATTCCATCTTAATTTTAAAGATTATTACTGATTCCTTCTAATAAACTACTCATCACCATGTTTTCTAAATTATACTTATTTCAGGGCAACAGTTGCATTTCTTGTGTGATTTAAATTCTCTAAATGATAAACTTTGAATTGTTCATATCTGTTCAGTACTGAGCTTTTGGCATTGAAGTAGGAATCTTTAGATCCAAGGCAGCTTTTTTTATCCCCGGATATTAAATAATCTGAAAATTATCTTGCCATGCATATTAATGAGGATTTGAGAGAAATAGTTAGTTTAATTGTGTGAGAGCAAGGGCCACGTCTTCTCTATGTTCTTTTAAGTACGTACTTTAAAATTATTGGTAGGGTTAATGTTTATTGCTGTTTCTCTGTTACCAGGTACTTTATTACCAAGGTTGCCATCTGAACCAGGAATGACGTTACTCACTATCAAAATTGAGAAAATTGGTCTGAAAGATGCTGGGCAGTGCATTGATCCCTATATTACAGTTAGTGTAAAGGGTAAATAGCTCTATTTCTTCATTTGCTCTCTGCTGCATGTTGTACTACTACTGCTTGTGGTCAAGCCATTGACATTTTTTTGTCATATATCTGTGACAAACTCATTTTGGTCCACACTGTAGTGAGACAGGATAACTGGGAATAGATTTCCATTCATCATCCTCTACCCCCTAAAATTGAGAGGGATATGCCAAAAGCACTTGCCTGTTTATTTATAACATGCTGTACAGCATTGCTTTTGGGGTTTTCCTAAAATGTGTCTATTTATTTCCGTCCAAGGTGGTCATTACCTTTGTGCATAGTCCTCATCAAGCATTATTCCATTGAAGAAATGAGTTAATTAACCACACGTTTCAAGGATCTGACCCTTTTGAGGCAAAATCAAGTACTCTCTCATTTCTCCTGCTGTAGGCACTCCCATTCATTTCCAAGGGAACTCTATGCATGGGAGAGATCTGTAGAGGTGGCTGAGAATTAGATCTTTAATGAATCACCAGTACAGATGGAAAAACATGGATACACCCACAAACATCCATATCCTGAGGGATGCTGAAAAAGTGAAATATTTGTTATCTTTAACTATGTTGCCATGGTTATTAAACATGATTATTTTTAGGAATTTTCTTCTTCTATCCAGTTATTTCTTGTAGACAGTTTTATTTTCATTTTTGACTTTGAGTAGAGATCTAGAATTGGACTTTTTTTTGTTGTTGTTAAAGCTTTTATGGAGCACTTCAATTTTCTTCAATCAGTTATTAAAAATAACTATGAAGCTACTTTCCTATGTCTTATCCAATAAGAACTGCATAATTGGTGCAAGTTGCCTATTTGACTGTCCCCTAATTTTGGTTAAATCACAGGGACAGATTTAATTTAAGCTATGGCAGTAAAGGGGAATGGAGGGAGATAGGCTGTTAACTACTGAAATACGTGTGCTACTTGAAGCTCACAGTGGTGTCATTAAAAACATTTTTTAGATGATTAGAAACATTTTTTAAGATTATTTTTTAAATCACTTATAAGACTTTTAGAGTTTAAGGAGGCATGTTAAGAAATGTTTTTTAAAAATGATTTTTATAAAGTTGAGTGTAAATGTCTTCAAGCATCTGCTGTTGTCATTTGATTGTGCCATGAAACATTCCCTTCTGCTTGGTCCTGAGGACCTTCATGGACTCATGTTGCCAAATGCCATGAATTATATGTTATTTCAGGCCATAGATTTGTAAGAGACTATAGAAGCACTTAAGTGCTCAAAAATAATTAAGCCAGTTGTATCGGATAAAAGCCACAATCTACACTTGTTGCACCACTTCGTTGCTCTAGGTCAAATTTGGTTACAGCAAATGGAATGCACATCTCAGTGAGTGCCTAACAGGGCCTTATACATAGTAGGCACTTAATTCTATTTTTGATTAATAATTGTGATTCTATGACCTACCTAAAGACCCCTTTCAAGAAATATTTAGTAAAATGGAAGTACAATATAAAGAACTTGGGTGTCATTTTGGAGTTTCACAGTAATGGAATTTGATCTGTAGTTAGGTTTTTGTCTCTAAATTTCACTTTGAATTCAGTGTTTTAGTTAGTGTTCTCTGCTGCTTTGCTCTCCAGTTGGGGGAAAAAAATAAGTGTTTGTTTAAGGACACATACAAAAAGGAAAATGATTGCTTCTGGGAAAACTTTACAACCACTTAATGATTACATTTGTGTGATGACAATATGAGAAGTGTAACTTAAGTGATATTTCATGGTCTGTTTGTTCTTTGCATTAAGGTATTTCATGGTTTATGGTAGAAACTTTCTTTTTCTGTAGATCTGAATGGCATAGATTTATCCCCTGTGCAAGATACTCCCGTGGCTTCAAGGAAGGAGGATACATATGTTCACTTTAATGTGGATATTGAAATTCAGAAACACATCGAAAAATTAACCAAAGGTTTGTAGCATTAAAGAGGAAGAAATGGTGCCAGAGGTCTTGAATGTATAGGTTATTATGATTGTATTACCCAGTTACATAATTAATAAAAACTTGCTTAGAAGCACACTTCCTTTTGGTTTTTCTTATCTTAATGAACCTACGGGTGCTACTTAGTAATAAAGCCACCACTTAAGGTTGAAACCACTCTTCCCCCTAAATTTACCATATAGAAAGGAGGATACTATAATTCTTAATTAGTTGACAAAGGGAATGGAGGGCAAAATAAAATCTTTGAAAAAGAATATTGTGGTAAAATTATATTTATCAGTTAGGAGAACTCAGTACTTTTCTGTGATTTTGATCACATGATTCTTAGACTACCCCCTTTAAAAAAAAAAGATTTTGAAATCTCTATGTCTTAATCAGATTCACATCCTAGCTGTAGTTTCTCAAACCTTCATTCTCTGGAGGAAATAAACAAAATGGAATGCAGTCAGTGCACTGGGTCATTTTCTGAACCCTGAAGAGCACTTTAGAAGCTATGAAAATCTTTCCAGAAAATATTTGATGTTTTCTTTTTCCATTTGGTGTGAGTGCTCTTTGAAAGAACATTAGCAGAATGGGTTCTTAATAAGTATTTGTTGAATGAATTTCAGGTTGGAAGATGTCATGTGAATGAGAACTGTTAATAAAATGTGCATTTCCTTGTGTGACGTACAGAACTCTTTCATTGAAAACTGCAGATGTTATGCAAGCAGGGGATGTTTTCATGTGCTCACTTTTCCATTGTAACACACCTCTGTGTCCTTGATGACGTGACTCACAAGATGCTAAAAGTAAAACTGTATTCAGAGTTCAAGTCCCTTCACGCTCCCAGTCCTCCGATTTAATTTTTACAACTCCTTTAGTCCTAATTTGGGTCAGTGCTAAGGCGCATACGTGGTGCTTGTTTATATGAAGTTTAATTAAGTCTTCCCATCTGGCTCTTCTTATGACAAATGGCCTTGTCATAGATTTTGCCTTTGTGTTTGTGCTTAGGCATAACATGTAGCACAGAGCTATGCATGCCAGGGGGCTTAGTAAATACATTATTTGCTGGTGATAGATGAATAATTCAAAAGAAACTTCAATTTGTAAAAAGATTCTTCCTAAAAATGAAAAACACTTGGGATCTTTCTCACCATTCTCAAGTATTAATTTAACGTCATGCTCACTTTAGATCACAGAGATACCTGAGCTTCTTTAAAAAGACGAATAAATTTGATTTGCTTTCCTTATTGGCTCGGAGGCAGTTCCTCTAGTATTGTGGGCGGTGGAGGGGAAGAAGTAGCCATTTTATGGATCTGGGAGGGTCTTATTTTGGGAAAGGGAGGTCACCAGCAGCCTAAATATTGTAATCCGCTTGTATGTGGTGGGAGAAGCCTGGCCACTTATGCTTATCTCTCCCCTACCCAGATCCTGTTGTCTCCTGAGCGATTGGTTTCTCTTTTCCCCCCTGACAGGTGAGGCACTCCAATTGGACCCAAGTGCCAAGGCTGTGCACACGTTTCTGAACATTGTTAAGCTTCTAGTAACTTGTGAGTTTTGTCATCAGTGAAAATATTAGATGTGTGTTGGCGGTCAGCACAGTTCCGGTTAAGTCAGCATTAATAGGTAACCAGTTAACAAATTCCCCTGATTTCCCTCCCCCAATTTTCATATATCTTCTTTTAAAATTAATTGCTATTGGCTAAATTGGTATGTGGTATTTTCTTTCTCTCTCTTCAAAAAAAAAGAAAAAAAAATCTTTTAGGGGTGGGACAACAGGGAAGCTTTCCTGTTTGGTTTGGGGAATTAAAAATAAACCCATCATAACACTTCACAGCTATGGGAAAACTGGCTTTTCTAGTCTTACCTTCCTTTATGCTGTCATTTTATAAGGTATTTGTTATTCCAAAAAGTTAGTGGTGTAGTAAAGAAATTGCCATCATTATTGGGACCATTTTATTAATGAAGTACTTCCTCTATTCCTATAGTGTGATAGTGATTTATCACTTCAACTGAGAAACACCTGGAAGATTTGTATTTTTTGTTATGGTAAAGGAGTGACTGTAGTTAAAATTCTTTCAGTATCTCTTTAAAGCACCCTGCCAACCTATAAATGCATTCCCATCCAGTGACTTTGAAACTTGATCACCAGATAAATGTGATAGTTTCCTATCATCCTTAATAATTTTATATATTTTTAAACATGCTTTGGTGTTTTATGATCTTTAACCATTCATAAGATTTTTATAAATTTGAATTAGTTTAGCTTACAGAAAACAGTTTTTGGTCAACACCACAATAAGTTCTAAATAACTGTATTGAACTATATTGATTCAGGTCACTAAAATTATGCAAATTGCTATTTTTTCCATGTGCTGCTCCCTATCGGTGGAAATGGATTAACTCGGCAGAAATATATTGACTATATTATTGCTTATGTGAGTTTATTTTCTCCCTCAGGTGCAGCTATTTTCTTTGAATTCAAACACTATAAGCCTAAGAAAAGGTTTACCAGCACCAAGTGTTTTGCTTTCATGGAGATGGATGAAATTAAACCTGGGCCGATTATAATAGAACTGTAAGTGATATGCATGTAAATTAATATTTGTGTAGTGGCATCTGAGTTACATACCTGTCTAGATACCTCCCCTGTTAAAAAATAATGTGGTTCTCTGTAGAGCAGAGTCAGAATCCTAAAACTTTGGTACCTTTCAGGTGCTAAAAATTAATCTTCATTACCTTGAAAAATTAGTTACTGAAGTTTCTTTACAATATGTCTTCTGTTGTGGTTCCAGATACAAGAAACCCACTGACTTTAAAAGAAAGAAACTGCAGTTGTTGACCAAGAAACCACTTTATCTTCACCTCCATCAAACTTTGCACAAGGAATGACCATGGCATGTATATCCTAAAACTTCTGTGATCTGAACCCCTCACTGCAAAGTCATGGTAGCACATTGATCCTTCAGTAGGCTCCTAGGAAACCAGCCCTCCTCATGCCAATAAATGAAAAGTGTGATCTGTTCTACAGCCACACCACAGAGATGTTTACAGTCCAAGACATCAATGGAGACCAGGAGGACTGCACTCATTCATAAAGAGCTCCTTTAGCATACAGGTTTTTCCACAGATTTTTGAAACAGTCTTTGATTTGTGAGTGATTTGTGTACATGGTAAAGGTTAAGTTTTAAATTTATTTACTACAGCAATTAACACCAGAGCAAGCAGGAACACGCCTGGCTCCCCTGTGCAGGATTTACTCCCCTAACTCAGCCCTGCTTCAGTGCACTCCTTTGAATCCATGTGTTTATTTCCAGGTCTTTACTGCTTACAGTAATTATCTAATGCAAGAGAAATTTGCTAGGTACCAGAATTGGTAAACTTGTAAAGAGTTTCTATCAGGGATGGCTCACCACTCACCACCACCAAGTGATCAGTTACGGGGAAGCTGCAGAAGAATTCATGACTTTACCATGAACATAGTTCACATCTCATGGGGGGAGGCTTGTTTTCCAGATTTCAGCAGCCCATTTACCAAATGACTTGAGGTAAAACTTATCTGAAGAGCTGGATTCTTTTTAAGTATTTAAGGGAATGGTGACCTAGGTTTCATTTTTTCTTACTCAAAAGTTCTTCCTCTGCTAAGGGATTCTAAAATACAAGGTATCTAGAGACTATCCAAATAATTTTGATTTTGTGACAGTGTTCAGCTGCTGTGATGTGGTTGAAATAACCTTTTGTATGGTTCTAAGCTGTCTAGTCCAAAAATGTTTGAATTCAGTCAGTTCCCTAAAGATACCTGCAGGAGTTGTTGCTGTTTTTCTGAAAACTGATTGTGAATCCTTGAAAAACCTGCATACCTCTTACAGCAATTTGTATGCAAGTCTGGAAAGTTATTCTAAATTTTGTTTCTGAGATAGATAGCTAGGATTACCATTTATTTTCTATTAAGATGTATTAAGTCATCTAAATGAAAAGATGCAGGTCATTAGCTTATAATTTGAATATCTACATAATTTTTTTACTTAATAAAGGAACATAAATAAAACCCAAGCAGACCTTTCATATACTTAATAAGTGGGATATTTAATACATTCCTTTAAGGTCTGTTGTGTGCTTTATGTGGACTATATGTAGTATATGCACATACTTTCATATGCACTTATATAATAAGTAAAAAAAAAAAAATCCAGCACCGAGTGAATGCATTGTCAATACTAGCTTTATTTTTTATTGTATAATCAGTCGTACCACTCAGCTCATTTGCTTTCTGTACCACATAATTCTTACCAGTTGCATAACAATTTTATTAGGTAAACTCCAACAAAATATTCAATTTATTCCCTTCTGTTTTAAGGGATATAATATTCTGTTTTCAGCTCTGTTTAGGTCAGTTTTGTTCATGCTGGATAGACAGTTTATTTAAACTATATAAACCATCAATAGTTGATAAAATTTCTCTCCCTTTCCTCAATCTTGATTGGATCAATTCCATGGCGGGGGGGGGGGATAATTTTCATATTCCTATTATCTGAGTTTAAAAGAGCTCTTGCATTTGGAGCTACCAAATATCACATTATCTTCAAATAATGTAAAATTCCCACAAGTGCTATGAAGCCTCTGAGTATTTGGTAAATCTTAATAATAAGAAGAACTAAAAATCATTACTAAAATAACTTCAATTGATGAAAATGCAGTAAAAATGGCATTTTCTTTTCCTTCAGATTAAGGAAGTGTGCATACAATGAAGTGATAGTTTATATGAAAAAAGTAACATTTCTGCTTCACAGGTGTGGTTTAGAAGCACCAGTGTCTGCCTTAGGAAGGCCAGCTGAAGAAGTTTAAGCTAAGTTTGACTGTGCTTCAGTTTTCTGGCGTAAGCACTTGTTATTGCAGAAACACCAACTCTTAACTTAAACTCTGTACCATTTGGTGTGTCCCACATCTAAGCAATTTATAGTCTTGCTTTATATGATGGATTTTTTCACTGATCTGAAGTAGTGAGCAGTAACTACACTGTACATTTGTCTTTCCAAGATAAAGCGCTGCTGATTCACAAATAAGATGGCTTTGTGCAGTTGAATGAATTTTACATGGTAGCACTAGCAAGTGAGCAAATAAACATGGTTGGATGGGATGACTACTATAGTACAATACAGTTACAATTACTTTTTTTTGAATGAAATCTAATGATTTAAAATAAAAATGATTTGTGATATTTCTACAGTGACACTCCAACCTTGGACTTTTCTGGGGAAAAAATGGTGCAGCTAGTTGTATGTGATTTGAAAGTTTTATGACAGTTGTGGATTGGTTCATATTAAGCCAGGTTTGAGTTTTTCTAAATTTCATTGCTATGACCATGGGTTTTCCTGAAGAGCATATCATAGAAATTACTTAGGGGTAAAAGAGTTATGGAAAGGGAAAGAGTTCTCATTCTGCGTAAATGATTAGGTTGGATTTAGCTTTGCTACTGTGATTATCTACCTAACTGGAATCTGTATCCAACTGGTGTTTACAGCTTTTTGACTCAGCATTGTGTTACATGTCCAGGTGTCATAGGTATTCAAAATTTATGTTTGTGGATCAAGTAATAAAACTTTTTGTTATTTTACTAATGTTAAAAAACATGTCCTTTACTGTGAAGAACGGAATATCTTTAAAAAGAAATTCTTCCACTTTTGATGTTTTAAAGGGCTGGAGAACCAGTGTGTGGGAGGATATGAAAAAATTAACTTTATTCCTTATAATAGTGATTAAAGTATTTGGCCCTTTTCATTTCTCTCAAATGTAATGTGATAATGTAATGCCATTAGTGTAACAGATCCTTAATTTCAAGTGTTAAAAGAACAATCACTTCTTCCATACTAAAGCTTTTGCACCTTTTATATGCCATTCTTACTGGAGGCAAAAAAAAAAATCATGCTAATGTAATTTAAGATGTGGAACTTAAAGAAAACAGGCAGGTCTCAAAAGTAATAAATATTCCACTCTTAAGTTTCAGACTTGTAATAGCTCAGTTACAAATTCTAAATCTTAACCTATATAACGTGTTGTAAGTAGTGTGCTTTGAAGTGCCTACAAACTGTCTCTTTTACTGAAGCATTGTTTTAAGGTTGTATGTTAATGTGGTGGTCTGTATGTAACACAGATGCTTGTTACTGTTTACAAGTTTCATCATGCTATATTGAATCATTAGCAAATATGATTTTCCCTGGGATCCATATACTATCACAGGGAGCCAAAACTGAGCTATATTTAAAATCTATGGTCAGGATAGGAGTTAGCTAAGGGCTTTTTAATGGCCTCTCATTTTGATGAGTTAACACCAACATTATCAATCTAGAATATAGCTTTACACTAGTGAATAAAAAAAAAAGTCAGCCCCCAAAATAGTCATCACAGTCTATGCACTGAAGTTAATGCACTTTACACACAGGAAACCTCCCTAAGATCCTTACGCCATCTTATTAAAGTTATATGTAATATGATTTCTAAGCTGATAGCAGATAGAATGGGCTGCTAGAAGCAGGCATAGTGATAGCAAGAGGTGAATGTTACAAATGAAATAAAAAATAACATTCAGAAATAGTGTAGTAATAAATAGCCTTACCTCCATCAGTAGCCCCTAAAAGAAATTAGTCTATGATAGCACAAAATACGATAGATATTTCTAATGATGCCAGTTTGTCAAAAGGTTAATTTAAGTACAGTATTCCTTTTACCAAAGTAGGGAGTATGTGATACATTTTAGAAAGTGAAAAAATAAAGTTTTGATACCTAAGTGGGTGGGCTTCAGTTACTGGGAAAATTCATTCACTCACGTGTAACAATATAACTCCCTCAACAATGCTGGAGGAATGGACGTGTTCCTATTCTTGTATTATATTTATTATGCCTCATGTAACAGACTGGCTTCTTTGGGTTGGTTACCCCTGAAATTACTGTAGCATGTAGGACTGTTCCATACCTTATAGGTGTTAAGTCCCTTTTGGCTCTAAATCCTATGAAATGTTAATATTGCAAATTCTCGTTTCTTGCTTGGATAGAGTGTCATTTTTCAGATCTATATTTCAGCCATGTTCCAATGAACAAAACACAAGAAAATAAATCTGATATTTACATGCATATGTCTTTATTCTGTGGGAGGAATTCTTTTCATCCAGAAAACATGGCCTCCCTCTTCCCCCTAGCCCTAGAAACAAACACATGTTTTTTATAAAAATGGATTTCAGTCCAAAAAGTTATTCCATTTGCAGCATAAAGTGTGGAAAGCATGAAAGGATTCTAGAGGGACCCTGGAAAATTTTTCACTTTATTCATGCAACTCTATGACTCAAATGACATTCATCTATAATTGTGTCCAACACAGTGGATGGCTGATGCTTCTACTGGCAAACTTAGGGGTAGATTCTACCCCATCCAGGTGGCAAACTCATGATGGACATGGACAAGAATCACATAAAATGGGTTTTGATCTGTATAGTTGGAAGAAACATCCAAAATAAGATCAGATTTGAGTATTCTGTTCAATGAATGTAGCTTATTGTATATAGGGCAAGCAGTGGAATCAAAGAAGACCCGAGTCAAAATCCTGCTATCCAACACCACCTTCTCCCTAAGCAGTTATTCTTCTAAAAAATGTTCTAAATAGGATTTATTAGAATTAACTGCATTAACTCGAATCTAAATAAATCTCAGGTTGAAATTTATTAACCTGAACAGATGGAAGTTGCTTAAGAACACTTATTTATTTATAATCATTGCATGTATTTTTATCAGTCTGTCTGTAAGGCCCAACAAATGCTTGCTATCTAGAGTTAGCCAGCACTGCTTATCTATAATTTGCTCCTGAAGTGTTTGTCCACATCTTTGCAGTGCTGAAGGAAATGAAGATAACACCCTGTATTTACCAAAGAAGAGGACAGTTTGCAGAGAAATCTTTATTTTCAATTTTATAAAAAGAAATACAAATAAATTCAAAGGATATTGATAAGTCTTGTCCACCTTAATGTCTTAACCATGTTAAGAACAACTTCTATGCCCTTTATGTAACAGCCTTCACTGTGGAAGAAATATTTAAATTGCAATAATACACAGTTGTGTTCTTTTTTATTATTCAGGGATGTTCAGGAAGAAAATGAATTCCACACTTAGATTAAAATCAAATTCTATCTTAACACAAGTGAGGTTTTTGCAATATATTGATTATGGGAGAGAAGATAAAGCCTATCTCAGCTTAAATAAAACTTTTAATAGTTTAATTTGAATTTTCCTTTATAATTTTGCCAGCTAAGTCCAAAATTACTTTTATACTCTTACTTCAATGATGGCTGTTATTAGCCTGTTTGAAGTAGGCAATATTAGGAAGCATCGGATAAAAGCAACACAGATGGGTGGGTCTTAAAATGGGGATAAGTATCCACACCTTTGAAACCTATATTAAATCATTCCTTAACTGCTAGACCCTCACATTTCCAAAAGGCCACAATATTGAATTGAATCTTAACGCTAGAATTTAATCTCAACATTTCAACCAATTGAATTACTTGGAAATAACAAAATTTTTTCTTTGGATGATGGTTTATACAGCACTAATAAAATAATCATCTTCCCAAGAGTCCCGGAAGGGGAAGAATAATTTACTACATTAGTAAATTTTTTTAGGATTAATTGTTTATACTCTTGGACTTCAAGACCAGATCTTTTTAAAAAGAATCAAGTTTATCCACACAGTCCCTTCGTAATAACTATATTATATATATGTATGTTGCAGAATGGTCTACACTAACAACAGTTTAACAAAATAATAGGGAAAATGAGGCAGTAGGGATAGTGCTTAACCTTTTTTAATAAAGTATTTCCACAGGAAATGTTCTGATTACATTTATGACATTTGAAATCATCAATTACATAAAACTAAAACACAGGTATATTTTTGTATTGCACATTTAAAGAGCTGCAAAAAGCTACAGCTTAAAAGGTCCTCATTCATGGCAAAAAATATATTTTTGCATCTCAGATTATGGAGAGGTTGAATAGTTTGGCTCATAAATGCACAATGATGCCAGGGGCAGCTTAATTGGAAAAAAAATGTCCTGCAAAAAATAGAAAGTAAACAAACCTACATATGAAGCTAATCATGAAATTAAAGTAAAATTTATTTTGAAGCTAATGAAGTCTTTCACCTGTATGAAGTTCCAACAGTCCCATTTTTTCAGTTTGAAGGCTAAAGTCATGGGCTCTGTTCTGGAGCCTGTATATAGTCCTGTGTGCTTCCTTGAGAGGCATGAGGTGGATGAGGAGGGACATAGTCTCTAGAACCTGAAGGTGTCAAGTCTCTTGTAAAAGGTGGAGGTGGGTAGTCCCTTGGACCATGGGCTGGAGGCGGTAATCGTGGGCCAGGAGGAAGGTACTCTCTTGGGCCAGGAGGGCCTAGAGGTTCAAAAGGTGGGTGTCCACGTATATACTCTCGAGGGTCAGGAGGTAGGTCCCTTGCTCCTGGTGGAAGGCCATGTAAGTACTCCCGAAAGCTTGGAGGTGGAGGACCAACAGGAACTAGCAAAGAAAAACAAAATTAAATTATGCAAAAGTTGTTATCATCTGACACTAATCATGAGAACTTGTGCTACACTTTGAGTAGCATAATAACATTCATAGATATAGTATTAAATGTTGAATTGAAGGCTATAAGAATATTCATTTCAATATAGAACCACAATATCTACTGAAATGAATTGTAAATTCATGTATATATATGGGTTTATTACCCTAGCACCTCAGACATAAAAGGTAAGAATTTGACCTAGTAACAACCCCTTTCCTCTGAATTGTGAGCTGCCTCAACTTCAAAATACTAGGGTTAGGCAGCAAGCCTATGTATAACTCAACCAGGTACATCTTTGCATTGCAAAGCACCTATAATGTGCTAGGTGGTGCTAAGCCCTGGAAATAAAAAGAAAGGCAAAAGCCAGTCCCTGCCCTCAAGGAGCTTACAATAGAACAGGGGAGACAACGTGCTAACAAGCTTTATACAAGATAAATAGGAAATTAATAATCAACAGAGGGAAGGCACTGTAAGATAAATAGGATATTAACAGGAAATTAATAATCAACAGAGGGAAGGTACTATTAATAGGAAATCA